TGTTGCTGTTGCTGTTGCTGTTGCTGTTGCTGTTGCTGTTGTTGCTGTTGCTGTTGCTGTTGCTGTTGCTGTTGTTGTTGCAGCTGTTGCTGTTGCAGTTGCAGTTGTTGTTGCAGCTGTTGTTGCAGCTGTTGCTGTTGCAGTTGCAGTTGTTCTTGCAGTTGTCCTTGCAGTTGTTCTTGCAGATGTTGCTGCTGCTGTTGTTCTTGCAGTTGTTGTTGTTGTTGCTGCTGCTGTTGATGTTGCAGTTGCTGCTGCTGCTTCTGCACCTGACCTGGCGTTAGAACGTTGTGGTTGTCGGTGGGAAGTAAAGAATAGTTCTTTTGTAATGCAAGGAAAGGCCCACGGTCTTCTTGCGGATCTGTCATTGATTGCTGGGCTTGTTCGGTTGGTACCTTGCCATCATTTTGCATTGATGTGGGTGCAATAGGTGGAAAGCAATGTGCCGTTGCGAGAGCCGTGTTTATAGGCGAATCCTGGGCTCTGCTGGCAACGAAAGTGGAAAGCTCGCCTTGGTTGTTGGCTTTTAGCAGCGCCTGGTGGATACTCTTGCGATTGTTCTGTTGTTTGTACTGGTGGACAAATGAATACATAAAGACGAAACGTATCACAAAATGATGAACATAATAGACAAACGGAAGATCAGTATCAGATGCAATTGACGTGCGGCATCGAATGAAAGGAAAGAGGGGGAACAAGGAAACATGTACCAACACCGACATCGGTGAAAACAGAATCACCGCGCAACAAATTTGCTACCTACTCTTTCTACTGGATTCCCATGCAGAAAGGCGACCTTAAAGAAATCCTCTTCGGCTTGCTTGAGCCGGTTCAGTCTGTCCAAAAACAAGGCACGCGGAAGCGGAACCACCGCGTTAGCTACTGATGTCGGCAAGAATCCGGGGACCTGTCGCAGTAGTAGGAGTTGCTGCTTCTCCTGTGAAGTCACAACGACGTTCTTTCTCTGGGTTGTGTATACCAGTTTCCCGATTCCCCTACCGGCAAACTTCTTTGATATTCTCATGGGGGAGCAACAGAGCTTGCGGCTGAGAAAGTGTCGCATCGTCATGCCGTTTTTGATCTTGATGGTGTGCGGTGATGTCGGATGGTCGTACTCCTCAAAGTCCTGAACCCTTCCCTCTTCAAATAGCTCGATCAGGATGTTGGCGTAGGCCTCCTCTTCGGTCGTCCATTTCCCGGCGCGATGAATCATCGGAGATCTGCCAGAGCAATCGGACATCGCTGTGCAAATTTGTCCTTGTTGTTGCTCTCGTTCTCCCACAGTCTCTTGTCTTCCTGCGGTTGATGTTGCCTGGTTTTGCCGGGTAAAAGAATGCGGATTTGCGGCGATTTTTAGCACTGTGTTAGCTCCAACAAGTGGCCTTGGCAGGTGCATCGGCATGGGCGCCTTCTGTGCTTTTTGGAGTTGAAAAAATGGCGGGAGGCTGCCAATATCAACGCTATTAGCCTTTGCGTCGGGTGTTGGCAAAAGTTGGTTTGCGAGTGGAGGTGCGGGCGCAAGGGGAGTGGCTGTGAATATAGTAGTATCAGTTGGAACTGAGGTGACAGCAGGGGCTGTCGAATCGTGAAACAACGGTGGTGTCGTTTGTTCTGTACCTGGAGTGGCTCCTTGCGTAATTTGATCCTCTGCCATCGCGAAGCAATCAATGGTTCCCGGAGGCAGCATTCGCAGCTCGCACACGATTACTACGCTGGATCCTTTTCTCTATTTGCGTTCCCAAGGGCGCATAGGTATCGTACCCTGCCGTAGTCTCATTCAGTTTCCGGATCAGGAGCAGTGATCCACAGAATGCTTTTTTAGCCAATAATACGCCATACAGTACGTATTGTCTCGGTTCATGTTTGCAATTCCGTGGTCTCAAAAATGCGACGCTTGACACCCCCCCCCCCCACCAAACTTCGCGAAATACTACAGCGAGCTGTTTCCTCTACTAATTTAAGAAGGCGTGTTCTTTCCCAACGACACGTTAGCACGGCCATATGTCGTGCTGTATGCATGTTTCTTCTGCCGGACGATGACACCGGCGTCGCCTATAATTAACTGCCATCTGCTAGCGGAATTCTTGATTGGATATTACTGCAAAAGTTTACGTCAAAGAATGTAGGCCACAATATTTATATTTTTAGTACGTTCGAAGAACAGATAACGAGAAAAACATGTTCGATGTGCAATGTTATTCGAACCGTCGCTTTTTACGATCCAAAATAAGCTTGGTGCATACTTTTAATTGTACCGGTACTACTCGTTCTTCAGCAGGGCACAGATAGTTACTTCAGTAGAAAGCCTCAGATTTTTTTTAGGTTCTTGTTGGGCTAATTACACTACTAGTACTACTACTAGTACTACTCCTAGTACTGTACTACCCTACTAGTAGTAGTACTCGCTCAGTCTAGTAACAGTACTAACAGCACTGCTACTACTAGTACTGTAGCTAMTACTACTACTAATAGTTCACTACCACTAAATTTCTTCTTGACTTGTCACTCAAACCATTTCGTCAGCACAAAGAGGAGTAGTAGATACTAGTAGTACTACTAGTAATCATGACCCATAGCAAACACACACAAGCACCTTACTATCGCAAGAACCCTGCCTGTTGTGCTGACCCAATTTTTATGGTCAAAGTACATGTTGAGCCTGCATTGTGCGAGCCACATAGTAGTACCCTGTTGGTTTAGTATTATTTTCAGGAGCACACATTAAATCAGAACCAATCTTTCCTGCTGCAAGCAGGGTTTTTCCACCCGTGCAAACAACGCTCCATTTTTTCTGGTCAGCATGTCATAGCAACCCGACCCCCCCCCCCTCTCTCTCTCTCTCTCGTCTCTCTCCAAATCAACTCTTTGCTCATATAAATATTTTTCCCAGTACAAAACCCTTGATATTTAATTCAAAAAAGGAAGCACAAATTATTAGAACTGCTGTGTTTTAGAAAATATGTGGTAGCAAGCAAGCATATTATATCTATCTAAATAAATTATTGCCAGTATAATCAAACCTCTTCTGTTGTCAGACCTCTTACTGAGGAGTGATCGCAGCTATTATTCTCAGAAGAGCAGCCCAGTAGTCGCAATGCCTTGGGAATGAAAGGTTTGTGTAGAATTGGTTGAATGGCTACTGGTGACACTTGTGGTGGTAGAAAGTCACAACCTAGTTCCTCCTGTATCTGCTCTAGCATTACTAGGGCTTGAAACTCTGACCCAGTTGCAGAGTTTTGGTGACACAACTCCTCAATTTCTTTGTCACACAACCTTGAAAAAGACAGTCTCCCCTTTATCACCCAAGAACCCTCTTTTCTTCCACTCTCTGCATCACAAAATCTCTTCTTTCTTTTCTTTATACTACTAKGGTCAACTTTATTCTCTTCAAACTTACCCACCTAATGTATTCATTACAATTTAAAAAGCCTCATTGGAAACAGTGAACATGTCCTCACTTATCATGAGTTTACCCTTTTACGATTTCAAAAGCCTCATTGGAAACAGTGAACATGTCACTTATCTTGAGTTTACCCTTTAGGCTTTTAAACCAGTCTCTCCCAGATTCACAGAGGCCAACATACTTGTCAAAAATAGTAAAACTCCAGATTGTCTACATTTCCAAATGCCCTGTAAGATGAGTTTAAAATTTTCCCTTCTAGTAGTACACTAGTTGATTCCAATCAATGCCAACTGACTCTGGAATTGGTGCCTCCAGGACAATGCCACCATTTTTCCTATCCTCTGTAATCCAATACATAAAATGGAAGACAAGAAACAGTGTTGGTTAGTGGATAGCACTTGACAAATCTGTTTGATAGGGTTTCCTGTGATCACTTACGAATCCAATTTCTTCTTGCCAAACTTTGCATGTTGTGTTCAGTACCTTCAGTAGAACGCTTTCCTCAAAGTATTGGACAAACTC